GAAGACAGAATGTTCAAGGTCAAATAGCTCGCCAACTTAGTTCTGGTGAGCCCCTCACCCCTTCACATACTTTCTTTATTGTTTCATCCTGATATGATGCAAATTAGAATACAATATTTCTGATCTTTTTTCATGAGGGTCATAATCTACATAAAGTTTATATCTTCATTACTTAATATAAATATAAGTATTGACAAGTATAATGCTATACATTTTTAATTTCAACAATTATAAGGAAAAGGCAGGTGCATCTCTAAGAGTTCGACGTATGTCTAGTCTATATAGTAAGGTCCAGGCCACCCAAGGATACACAGTAAGACCGTGTTTCAAAAGAAAATAAATAAAAAGCAAGTTTCCTAAGCCCCAGTTCCTACTGTTACACTAGTGGTTAGTTTTCAACTAATGAGCTGTGTGTCGTGCCCTGTAATTTAAGCTGTTCATGAAGATAAGGCTGGAGGAATGCAAGTTCAAGGCCTATCTAAGGTACAAAAAGAGTTGACTATCAACCTGAGCAATTTAATGAGGTACTAAAACAAAACAAACAAACAAAAAAATCAAAATTCTAGAGAAGTTACTCAGTGTTAGTGTGTTTACCCGGTTTATACAAGTCCCTGGACATTACCAGCCCTGTATCTCACACACCCACACATACATACAAAAGAAAAAAATAAAATACTCAGTAAACACTGAGTCCATGACAAATTTTAATAGTCTCAATTGTGTGATGGATAACTAACATAGTTCTCAAGGGCTAGATAAATGCATCGCCAGTTAAGAACACTGTTTTTTCCTGAAGACCTGGATTCACTTTTTAGCAACTGCAAGGTAGCTCACAGTCTTCTGTAACTCCAGTTCCAGGGGATCTGATGCCTTCTTCTGACCTCTACCAGCACCACACACACAGAGGTGGCACACATATATACATACAAACACACACATATAAATAAAATAGAAAATGAATGTAAAATATTTTCAAGATTCTTAAGATATTACATGTTAGAACAAGGACAGACTGTTGATCTGAATCCATCTACAGGCTGTGCTATTCTAGTCTTCCCACAATAAAGCCTACCTTTTGGGGTTTTGAACATTATTTTTCTACACTACTTTTTTTTTTTAACTTGGATTAGTTTTTCTTGAAATTCCTATTGGTAAAATTATTCCCTTAGTTGTAGAAGTTCATGGTGAGACGCTTAAGTTGATTAGATACATCTGGTATGTGTAGTTCGGTATCCACATACAAAAATGAAATGCAAATTATAACTATTTCCTCAGCCTAGTATTCTTAAATAGTGATATTTTTTTAAAAAAATCCAAATAGAAAAATATACATTCAATTGACCTTTTCCATATACTTTTATTGAAATATTTTTCAAAAAGTATGTTCTGATTGTGGCTTCCCTTCCTCCAAATCCTCCCATTTACTCACTCACTCAACTCCATACCTTCTCTCTCTCTCTCTCTCTCTCTCTGTATCTCTCTTTGTGTCTCTCTATTTTCTCTCAAACAAACAAACATACAAACTATATTTTTTAAAAAAAGAAAGAAAACATACACACACGGAGAGAAAGAGAGAGATAACACAAAACTATAACACAGATGATTTAAAAAATCAAATTTTGTGCTCAAAATACAGGATTGCATCCACTGCCAGAGTAAAAAGAATATGAACATAAACAAGGGGTTTGACGAATAAAGGGGGAAACTTCAACAGATTGGGACCTACAAACACTCATGGTTTAGTCTCTTTCCTGTACTAATCAAATACCTTGAAGGTGGAGTTGCACAGGCAATCAACTAAAAGCTCCACAAGTATTAAATGCACAATCGTCTATGAGACTGAGAAAGTGCACCCCACGCCACAAGGGGCGCCAGAGAGGCAGGCTTCCAGTAATTCTCTCTTCTGGGTCCTTTCCTAAGAGATAGCAGTGATTTCCTTCTCCGCAGTTCGCTGTTCGAGGACTGGGTTGCTGAGGAGTGCTGTCCAAAGCCGCTGACTCAACATAACCAGGAAATAAGCCCCAGTTTCTGTCGTTTAAAGGTAAGAAGTTTTAATGAAGTTGAAAAACAGTCTTCTCAGAATCAAATTCCCTGTGCTCTTCAACCCATGGCCTTTGGTCTCAGTTTAGATGTTCCGTCGCCACCCACCTTCTACTTGTTGTCTTAAAGTCCTACCTCGAAGCCGAGGACCATAACTCCATTCCACCCAGCCTATAAGTCCCCTTGTTGCCAGACTTGGTCTACCTCAGAATAAAGCACTCTAATGAGACAGCTTCCCTCCTTCTGGCCGCCATATCCCTCCATGTCTCCTCGAGGCTGCTTGTGGGACTTCCGGGGTTTTGTGTCAGTTGCGCGCCATTTCAAAAGACAGCCTAGGCTCAAAAGCAGACGGCTTATCTAACGGAAGCCCTATTTTATTTTATGTCTTGTCCAGTATCAAAATACAGCCAAGGCCAACAAAGTTTGTCCTAACTCCCACTCTCTGCGAACTATAAAGAAGAGTCCCAGTCCCACAGGAAACTGCTTTTTCTAACAGCTTTAGCCAGATTAAGCGATGCACCTCCATCTCAAAAACTAGAACTTGTTGTCTATTTTCGCCACTGCAGAAGATACCTACCCTTACCTCAGTGACCACCATTTTATTTTATACTTTAAAAAAAAAATCTTTTCTGAGACAGGGTTTCTCTGTAGCTTTGGAGCCTGTCCTGGAACTTACTTTGTAGACGAGGCTGGTTTCGAACTCACCTGCTTTGTCTCTGACCCTGCTACTGCATGTACTACCACCTCCCACCTATGACCACCTTTATTTTAATTAATTATTTTTATTTTACATGTCGATCCCAGTTCCATCTCCCTCACTCCCTCACTCCCTCACTCCCTCACTCCCTCACTCCCTCAATCCCTCAATCCCTCACTCCTTTTACCATTTCTTTCCCCTCACATGCACCCTGACCACCCTCCCTTCCCATTGCCCCCCTCACTCCACATGTAGGGCTATGCCATCTAGGTGGGGTCATGTTGATCTGACAGGTCATGTGAAGTAGGGACTAGGACTTCTCTCCTGTCTCTAGATTAAGGCAGTTATCCCTCCATGGGGGATTTGTTGGCAAGGTCCTTTTGTGCAACAGGGATACATCCTGGCTCCACTGTCTGAGGTCCCTTAGACTGCTCAGTCCTTCTGGCTGAGACCCATGTTCAGGGGGCCTGAGTCAGTCCCATGCTGGCTTCCCAGCTATCAGTCTGTGGGGGGCATTAGCTCCTCCTTGTTCAGGTCAGCTGTCTCTATGTGTTCCTGCAACATATGACCATCATTTTTATGTTGGTATTTTTAAAAATAATTTTACTTTTTGTGACTACAATATCATTCCTTCCACCATTTGTCCCCTTCTCATTTGTCTTCCCAAACCATTCCACATGCTCACCTTTCTCTCTTTTAAATTCATGGTCTCTTTGTTTTTCGTTGTTGATGGTGATGGTGGTGGTTGTGGTGATGGTGTAGGTGGCAGTCTTGTTGCTAGTGGTGGTGGTAGTGGTATGTGTATGTGTGTTACTAAATACAAAAGACAACCATATCAGTTCATATAATGTTACATGCAGACTGTAGTTCAAACATGACCTGGACGAGGAGGACACCAATAGGCATGCTAATGTGGAAGGAGGAAAGCTCATGAGGCTTCAACCTTACAGAACTATAGCTAGGCACCACCATTTTAATCTGTCCAGTTTGTATAAAAGTTGTCCCTCCCTCGCCTGCCACATACACCTTTGTTCCTAGTCTATGTTGCTTTCAGAGAGGGACTCACATCACACCTTATGAAGCTGTTCCATATGTACAGTAGTGTAACACCCCATAAAAATACTTGTAACAATTTAGAAGAGCCTTGAGAAGACCGGGACAATTGATACATTTTCTTTTATGACTTTATGGGCTCAAAAGTAGCACAGTCAGTAAGAATGTGGAGCTACATTTTAGCAGAGGAAAGAAGCCTACAATAACTATAGAAAATGCAGAAAAACGTAGGCAGAGATACTTCCCTGTAGGAGTCTGAGAAGGCCAAGCATGGTGTCCCACAGACATAAGCTGTCTGTTCCTATTCAATTGGAGACTTGAGGCTCTTGACTTGAGGGTGAAAGATCTTCATGTGGGCAAAAGAGGCAAGATCATCTTTTGCAGGGAATTAAGGTGAGGAATGTAGAGTCTGTTCTGAGGGAATTTCCCATCCCAATACATTCAGGAGGTTCATAGCTTGCCCTTGCCATCACTCCTTGGAGGGAAATGCAAGACTACTATGTCAATTAGTGGCAGAATAGTCTTAAGAGTAATGACATTCTTAGGATGAATGAAAGGTTACTTTATTCAGATAAGTATTCCAAGAATGGTCAGAAGTCAGATAAGGACTCTATGGAATGAATAGGGGTACTTCTCCCCACCTAGGAACCTAGATTTTCTGTGCAGAAGTAATGGGACAGGCCCCCATTTACTCTCATGCTATGTCACTGTAGCTGACATAGTGGTAAGGGATTTTTGTTAGAGGAGATGGCCTAAATTTGTCTACAAGGGAGTTTAAGAAATATCTGAGGAGAACACATACAAGAGTATCACAGGGAGACAGTTGGAAAGTAGTGGAGAACAAAATTAGGATTTCCAAAAATTCGCATGAAGATTCTCACTGGAAACCTAGAGGCTCCCCAAACTGGAAGATCCTAAAGGCATGAGCGCCAGCCTGCTTAATCCAGCTAAACTCAGCATAGGCAGGAATGATAGATTGTAACCAGAGATTACTCTGCTTATTCCTTAGGGACCAGGCAGTTGAGAACAGAAGGCCAGTGGGTTCCTAAAGTGCTTCACTGATGGAAACCTGAAGAGGCAGCCTTAGTTACAAACAGGTTTTTCTCTCTCTGGTTAAAGTGTTCATATCATCTTCTTCTGCTTCTTACAAGTGTTTTCATCAGCAGCATCCTTTCAACATATTCTGTTCTTGTCCCTAGCCAGAGTCATCATGCCTCGAGGTCAGAAGAGTAAGCTCCATGCCTGGGAGAAACGCCACCAGGCCAGAGGTGAGGCTCAGGCTTATGGAGGTGCATGGGAAACAACAGAGGAAACACCAGAGGCAGAAGGAGAGTCCTCTGCTGCTTACCATAGCCAGCCTGGGGCTGAGTCTTCCAGTACTCCCAAGGCTGGGACCCAGAAAGCAACACCATCTGCCTCAACTCCTCTGAGTATTTCTTCCTCTGAATCAGATGAGAGTTCCAGTGAGGAAAGTGATAAATATGAGGAAAGGGAATGCCCCTTTGAAGACAAGCCCTGCACCATCGTTCTGCACCGTGATCTGATAGCCAGAAAGGTGGTGCTGCTCTTACAATACCTGCTCCACAACTACAATTTGAAGCAGCTTACTACCAAGGAAGAAATGCTGAAGGTTATCACAAAGAAGTATGAGAAAGACTTCCCTGAGATCCTCAGGAAAGCCTCTGAGAAGCTCGACGAAATCTTTGCTGTGGAAGTGAGGGAAGTCAACTCCAGTGAGCCCTCATACAACCTCATCAGCAAGCTGAAGCTCCCTAACAATGGGAGGATTCGTGCTGGCAAAGGGTTACCAAAGACTGGTTTCCTTATGAGTGTTCTGGGTATCATCTACATTAGAGGCAATTGTGCCAGTGAGGAAGACATCTGGGAAATCCTGAAGAAGAAGCAAATCTATCCAGGGAAGAAGCACCGCATCTTTGGTGAGCCCCGTAAGCTCATGACCCAGTATTTAGTGAAGCTGAAGTACCTGGAATACCGGCAGGTGGCTGACAGTGATCCTCCACGCTATGAGTTTCTGTGGGGTCCCCAAGCCCATGCTGAAATAAGCAAGATGAAAGTCCTGGAGTTCTTGGCCAAGATAAACAAAACAACACCGAGTGCCATCTCTGCCCTTTACGAAGAGGCTGTGAAGGAAGAGCAGGAAGGAGCAGAGGCCAGAGATGAAGATGATTCTGATGCCACTGACCAAGCTGGTAAAGATTCTCCAGTAAAATCACCAGCAAATTCTACCATTCCTGATGATGCTTGAAGTTTTCCTGTCATCCAGATAATGAAGTAAAGCAATACAAAAATAATTTTTCTTGAAAATATGAAATAGTCTTAGAGTTAGTAGGTCAGTACACTGGGAATAGTAGAGCATTAAAACATGGTAAAGCCTGGTTTTCTTTAATTTGTTTCATTATGTAGTTTGGTAAAGTTAAATGCTATAAGTTCAACGAAGTATTTTTGCCTGGCTTGTAAAATAAGTAAATAAATATCAAATCTTTATGAATAAGTCTTTGTTCTTATGTATTGATATTAAACAAATATATTTTAAATATATTGTCTTCAGAAATCCATGTGAAAGTGTTGGAAAAGTAAAATAATATTCTAGCCTCTAATTTTAGAAATTTTGAGACAATTTCTGCAGTTTTACCAAAATACTGAGTTTCCCCTTTGTGACTTAGGATAAAGTAAAAGGGAAATAAGGATGGTGTTTCTTATTAAAGCAATCCAGTTGAAATTCATTGATCAAGGTATGTTGAAATATCAAACTCCCCAAACCTGGAAAACAGATGCAATTTTCATTCATTAGTATGGTAGGTATTGGGCTAACTGAACTTTAAAAGTAATGAATAAATGTCATTTTGTTAGATGGTATACCTTACAGTTGATGGGGAAAATCCTATAAGTCTATTCTAGCAGCTCAGATAAAATATATACTTGGGTCTGGTGTGGATTGGAGGAATATCACCTTAATTGTAATTTAATTTTTCCAGTTCTGGGTGCAGAAAAATGTTAGGACAAGGAGACAGCTGACTCAGTTCCTAACAATACTATCCTTATTTAAAACTTTGAGGGAGGAAAAGAACAGGAGAGTAAGGATGTACAAAGGTAAATGACAAGTGAAGAACTCATGAGATAGCTGATCCTAAGAAGGATGAGCTAACGGGCCCCAAGACTGATAGCTTGGAATCCAGCATGGGACTGACTCAGACCCCATGAACATGGGTCTCAGCCAGCAGGACTGAGCAGTCTAAGGGACCTCAGTCTAAGTGGAGCCAGGATGTATTTCTGGTACACAAAAGGACCTTGCGGGCATATCCCCCATGAAGGAATACTCCCTTAACCTAGAGACAGGAAAGATGTCTTATTCCCTACTCCAAATGATTTGACAGATTTAGATGACCCCTCCTGCATGGCATCACCCTTTAGGTGGAGGGAGGATGGGCTGGGAGGGTGGTCGGGTTGCATGTGATGTGGGGGGATGGAAAGAGGGAGGGAGGGAGGTGGGCGGGCTGGGAGGGTGGTCGGGGTGCATGTGATGTGGGGGGATGGAAAGAGGGAGGGAGGGAGGTGGGCGAGAGGGAGGGAACTGGGATCGATATGTAAAATAAAAATAAAGACAAGTGAAGAAAGGGAAGGAAGGAAGAGTGAGATCAGGATTGAAGGAGGAAAGGAGTCAGTCAGGTAGAGAAGTTTTAACAAGAGGCTACATTTTAGTAAGAGGAAAGTGTTACACATATAAAGGATTTCAGTCAAAAAAAAAAAAAAGAAGAGAAAGAACAGCAGGGAGAGCAGGTCATAAGATGACTAGTCAGGAAAAACTCTACTTTTCCTTGTTTTAGTGTAGCTAATGTCTACATGGGTAGGGCTCTCTCACTCCGTCCTAAATGGGATGTCTCCATCAACCCACTCCCTTAAAGGCTCAGGGATCAATGTGAAAGAGAATGCAAAATGTTTGATTGTACAATCCAGAAGTGGTGGCTGACTCCAAGGATACTGTCTTCTAGACACAACTGGAATGATGCACATATGGACTCAGAGAATGTTGCAGGATCCTATTGGTGCCCCTTGCGGGTGAGGGAAAGTAGGCATGACACCAATGACACAGGCTTTGGAAACAAGTTGAAACAAGAAGCTCAGTTTATTCCAGGAAAGGGTTAGCCTTATATATCCAACCCTTCTCCAGGGGAAATCCAAAAAACTGGCATCTGCTGAGATGAAGTGGTCACTGTCCATAGGTTCATGTCATCTCTCATCAGACTTGCTGTTGTCTAGGTCCTCTGGCAGACCCAGGCTTGCTGTCTGGAAATATCTACTGTGAATGATCTAGGCCAGCTGTCATGCCCATTGAAGCTTAGTTATCCCACAACAGAGACTGTAGCAGCATGCACAAAGGTTCAAGTCAGATGGATTTCTGAGAGGGTGAAGTGGACATGTATCACACCCTTAATAGAAAACCTATTTGCAATCAATTCCAATTGGGAAAACAAAAAATCAATTTTCTTCAATAGAGTGTCACTGTGTATATCCACCACATAAAGCAAGCCTCGTGCCCAGGAGTATTTAGCCATTACAAAATGATGGGGTGGCTCTTTTTGTTTCATTCCCGTTAGTGTACTTTTCTATTATTTTTTTATTGATTCTCTCTTTTTGGAAAGAGAAAGGAGGAAAGAACATGAAGGAATTGGGAAGAAGATGAGGGAGGAGAAAAACATGATCAAAATACATTTAATGAAAGCATTTTTTAACTAATGCTACATATAACACTATTGAAATATAATTACTTCTAAAGCCCATCATTATATTCCTATCACATGTCAGTGTTGGGAAATTTAAGTACTTGTCCCTTACAGATCACTTCTCCACACCCAGATGTAGAACTTCCATGCAAACAAGGTTGAGCAAACAAGGTTGTTTTCGGAACTTTCTGGTATGCAGTACCCATAACTTGACCCAGGTGTGGTGGTGCATGACTTCCTCTTATGCTTAGCCCATCCCCTAGCTTGAGTATATAAGCCCATTACTCTCTGTAAAAAACAGTGGTGTTGGTAGCAGCTTCTTAACTTCTCGTGGTGGTCTGTTAAGTGTTTCAATCCTGACACCCTCTGCTAATCTTGGTCCCAGGCTGCATGGGTGTGGCAAGTGGAAGTCCCACTGAGATTTGGAAAGTGAGGAATCCTGGTCAGGGCCACTCTGTAGCCAGCAGGAGTGCATTGGGGTAAACAAGGTACATAAAACAATATGGGAATTGCTTCAAGTGAGAATGAAACAAAGGAACAAATAAGAAAACTTTTAAAACAACAAGGAACAGAAATTAAAAGTAAAGCTGCAGACAACATAGAGAAAGTTAGTCCTTGGTATCTGACCGGGGAGGACCAAATGTTCCTCATTGAGAACAAGTGAAATCAGATCTACAGAAGAAGCTACATAAAGAGGGTCTTGACAGCATTCTGATAGCCACCTTCTCTTTGTGGAGATTAGTCGAAGTTGCCTTACTAACAGAAAAAGTTAAAGTGAAAAAAAAAAAAAAAAACTACAGACAACTAAGGAGGCTTTTAGAGAGGTTCAAGAGGAGGAAACTAGATGAAAAGTAACAATTAGTCAGATCCCCAGTAAAAAGAATGATATAAAAAGGTTAACATTTTCTGAGTCCAGTGAGAGGATGATTTGGAGGAGGAAACTTTAATAGAGGAAATTGAAGAACTCTGTAGTAAGCTGAGGCTTTGTCATAAAAAGACTCATAGGGAACATAGTCGTGAGGATCTTTCTTTAGATAAGGGAGATGAGGAAATGCTGCTGGATTAATTTAATTTATAGATTTTTAAAAAGCTGTGACTTCAAAATATAAGTCTAAGGACAGGTTACTGGGGAAAAGGATTTCTATTTTTGTTTCCACAGAAAATGAAAAGCTGTGGATTCCTTCCAGACTAACATGGTTTGATCAAGCAGGACTCCCTGAAGCATTCCCTGGGACAAGACAGCCTTGCAGACTACAGCCAGGATTTCTGTGTCTTCTTAGGATCCCCATAACAGTACCCCCTACCAGCAGGAAGCAGTTTGGAAAGAATGATGCCCAAATTCCCAATTATTGTTTACAGAGACAAGTGACTGAAAAGGAAAATTGATAAAATTTCATGTCCCATGTGGGGGAATGGGTATAGCCCTGGTTGGGGTCTATTGCATATTCCCTACTGGGGTCCTGGGTATTAGTCCCTGCATCTGGATTATGCAAAAAGTACAATAAATAGGCACGTGTCACCTGACAGGCACTCATGGCTTTGAGAGTATAACCTGAATCAGTCTAAGTATGGCTGCAGATCCTGGAGAAGTGATAACCAATGACGGGCAACTCCTAGCTTGATCAATGCCACCTAAGACAGGGAATGATGAGATCATTTCCCCATGACTGATGAGGTATTTTTTCCTCAGGTGTCCTAAGCAAGGTATCACTTCATTTAAAAAATAAAAAGGGAGGAACTATTGGGAAATTTAAGTATTTGTCTCTTACAGCTCTCTTCTCCCCACTCAGCTGTAGATCTTCCGTGCAAACAAGGTTGTTTTCAGAAATTTCCAGTGTGCGGTGCCCATACCTTGACCCCATGTGGATAGTGCATGACTTCCTCTTATGCTTAGCCCATCCCCTGGCTTGGGTATATAAGCCCATAACTCTCTGTAATAAACAGTGGTGGTGACAGCAGCTTCTTAACTTCTCCTGATGGTCTGTTAAGTGTTTCAATCCTGACACCATCCACCAATCTCAGTCCCAGGCTGTTTTTTTTTTTTTTTTTTTTTTTTTTTTTTTTTTATACAGGGGTTACATATAACACTATTGAAATGTAATTACTTCTAAAGCCCATCATTACATTCCCATCACATTGAAAGATTTTAGTTTGCAGAGCAAGGATGTGGGAAAGAGGGAGGAAAATAGTTCTTGCAAGCATAATATAGAAAATCACAAAGAATGGACATTGACATAGGTGGAAACATCAGGAATTATGAGAACAAGAAAGCTTACTATGGTGATGGGGCTAGTGATTATATGCTAGACTGATTTTGTTAAATATGGCTAGTTACAGCAAGGAGAAAGCCAGAGGATGAAAAAAAAAAGGTTCTCACAGGTCTTGGCCCACAACAAGGAAATAGGCCCCCAACCCTGGAACAAATGGTCCCAGATTAAACAACCCTGTTTGGGTCACTCCTGGCCAATGGACAGTCTGGGGATATTCCAAGTCATTCTATGGTTTATCCCTTGTATATGAACAG